CTTATTTTTTAAGTCATATGAGTTTTAAAATACTAAATTGAAACTTTGGGGGAGACGGAGTCTTGCTCTGTTGCCTAGACTGGAGTGCAGTGGCATGATCTTGGCTCCCTACGGTCTCCACCTCCCAGGCTCAAGTAATCCTGCCACATCAGCCTCCCAAGTAGCTGGGACTACAGGCACACACCACAATGCCTAACTCATTTTGATAAATATATCTATATATATCTATATATATAGATTTTTTTTTCGTAGAGATAGGTTCTCATTATGTTTCCCAAGCTCATCTTGACCTCCAAGCTCAAGCAATCCACCTACCTTGGTTTTGCAAAGGGCTGGGATTATGAGTGAGCCACCAAGCTTGGGTAAACTGAGATTTATTTAAGTAAATTGATTAGTGCTGGGTGTGGTGGTGCATATTGGTTACCTCAACACTTTGGGAGGCAGAAGTGAAAGGATTACTTAAGACCAGGAGTTTGGGCGGGATGTGGTGGCTCACACCTGTGATCCCAGCACTTCGGGAGGCCGAGGTTGGCGGATCATGAGGTCAAAGGATCAAGACCATCCTGGCCAACATGGCAAAACCCCGTCTCTACTAAAATACAAAAAATATTAGCTGGGTGTGGTGGCATATGCCTGTAGAGTTGTTTTTGGAATTTGACAGGCTGATCTGAAAATTCATGTAGTCATTGAGGGGCGAAGAACAGTGTAGCTAGTCAGGCGCGGTGGGTCAGACCTTTAATCCCAGCACTTTGGGAGGCTGAGGCAGGCAGATTAGAAGGTGAAGAGATCGAGACCATCCTGGCCAACATGGGGGAAACCTCGTCTCTACTATAATACAAAAAAACTGGCCGGGCATGGTGACGCATGCCTGTAGTCCAAGCTACTTGGGAAGCTGAGGCAGAAGAATTGCTTGAACCTGGTGGCGGAGGATGCTGTGAGCCGAGATGCTGCCAATGCACTACAGCCTGGGTGACAGAGTAAGACTTCGTCGCAAAAAAAAAAAAAAAAATAGTATGGCAGACACTGTTCGTGCCATCCCCATGGCCGTCGGCATTGCCAGCCACATACGTGCCAGGGGCCGATTCCTTCAAGAGCACCCTCAGTGTATTCATCATGCCTTTGCGTTTCCTGTATTTCCTGACATGTTGACAGCTGGAGACTTGCTGATCCTGGAGAGACTGCTCCACCCAGGGTGAGCCAGTTCCTAGAGACAGTAAAGGACTCACCTGCAAGTGCACCTTCCATCCACAAAGCAGCCAATCCAAAGCCCATACCCCCAACCACCTCCTTCATCGGGCTCTTACACTGGGCCACTGTCCATCTGCCCTCATCACCCCAGGGTCAGGAACAAGACAACTAGGGACAGCCCTATGCCCCAAAGCCCAGTGAAATTATTCAAACTATAAAGAGCTAATCCTGTGCCTGCTTACCCTGCCTTGCCTTTCCCTTGGATGCCACAAATAAAGCTCTTGCCCACGTTTTCCCCTAGCTCCTTTGACTTCTTGACTGACCCTGGTGCCTCTCCATGTATCCCTGCATAGCATGGATTGGCACTTGTTTCTAGGGAGGTCTGAGTATCAAAAACTCCTTCCTTCAGGACAATCATTTCCGTATCTGTGTGTCTTAGTATATCTGATTAAAGTAAATCTTGCGTCCTTTTTAAAACAGCCATAAGGAATGGGAGTTGGTGGATAAATACCGCAGCTTCCCCGCCCCTCAGTTGCAGTATCTTTGAAGGGCCTAGTGAGTTAGCGCCTAAGCTACTCTCTGTGGCAACCTGCTCATAAATGCACCATCTGTTGGCTTTCTTCCTTCCCCATCTCACTTCCCACCCTCTTATCTGTGCTTCTTGGAAGCACCTTCTTGAAAAATGCTTGTACCTGAATCCTTGACTCAGGTTCTGCTTCTAGCAGAACTTAAATGAAGATATTTTCAAAGAATAAGAACGGCATAGAGGTCAGTAATGGAAGGTTGAAGATTTGTGTGCATACTATGATGGTAAAGGAATTAGGACAGTGAAGTGTTCAGGGGATGCACAAATCAACCACTGGAAGAGAAGAGGAACCCAGCAAAAGACCCATGACACATGGAAACTTGAGACAGAAGTTGCTTTGTAGATTATTGGAGAAAGGATGGAATATTCTACAAATGGTGTTTGCACAATTGATTATCCATATGCAAAGTAAATACGACTAGATCCCTAGTACACATCATATCAAAAATAAAAGCCAGTTGATTAAAGATCTAGCTGTGAAAGGCAAAACTTCTAAAGTGGGCTGGGTGTGGCGGTTCACGCCTGTAATCCCAGCACTTTGGAAGGCCGAGGTGGGCAGATCACAAGGTCAGAAGTTGAGAACAGCCTGGCCAATATTGTGAAACCCCACCTCTACTAAAAATACAAAAATTAGCCGGGTGTGGTGGTGGTGTGTAGCTGGGACCTGTAGTCCCAGTTACTTGGGACGGGGTGACGGGAGAATCTCTTGAAGCCAGGAGCGGAGGCTGCAGTGAGCCAAGATTGTGCCACTGCACTGCAGCCTGGGGGACAGAGTGAGACTGTATCTCAAAAAACAAACAAAAAAACTTTGAAAGCATTTAGAAGGAAACGTAAGGGGATATCATGATTAGGGCAGTGTCTTAGTTTGGGCTGCTCTACCAGAGTGCCATAGACTGGGTGGCTTACACAGTAAACGCTGATTTCTCCCAGTTCTGGAGGCTGGATGGCCAAGATCAGGGTGTCAGCATGGTTGGTTCTTGGGGAGGGCCCACCTCCTGGTTCACAGACGGTCATCTGCTTGTACCCTCACATGGCAGAGAGCGAGAAAGACAGGAAGCAACTGTCTTGTATCCGGCCTCCCCCAACTTTTTTTTTCCAAGGTTGAGTCTCACTCTGCTGCCCAGGTTGCAGTGCCGTGTGCGAACCTGGCTCACTGCAACCTCCGCCTCCCGGGTTCAATCAGCTCTCCTTCCTCAGCCTCCTGAGTAACTGGGATTACAGGCACCTGCCATCACGCACAGCTAATTTTTGTATTTTAGTAGAGACAGGGTTTCACCGTGTTGGCCAGGTTGGTCTCAAATTCCTGATCTCGTGATCTGCCCGCCTTGGCCTCCCAAAGTGCTGAGATTACAGGCGTGAGTCACCTTGACCAGCCTGATTTTTTTTTAAATTTGAAATTTCACTTTAAGTTACTGGATACAGGTATAGAACGTGTAGGTTTGTTACCTGGGGGATATGTGTGCCATGGTGGTTTGCTGCACCTATCAACCTGTCATCTAGGTTTTATGTCCTGCCTGCATTAGCTATTTGTCCTAATGATTCTTTAAAAATTCTCCGAATACTGCCAGTTGGCTCAAGCCTATCAGATTTAGGTCCTGAGTGAGGCAGGGGGCCTCACTGGAGGCCTGTACCTTTATTTTTAAATTTATTTATTTCATTTTTTAAAGTGATAGGGTCTTGTTCTGTCACCAAGCCTGGAATGCAAGCTGCATGATCATAGCACACTGCAGACTTGAACTGCTGGGCTCGAGTGAGCCTCCCGCTTCAGCTTCCAAAGCATTGGGATTGCAGGTGGGAGCCACTGTTCCTGGCCATAGGTCTGTACCTTTCATCCTGTGGACTGTGGACAACAGCCACTCACGCCCGGGTGCTGGGATGGGGTTTAATTTCCAGTGACTGGCCCAGAGCCTGCCCACGGGAAGATCTCAAGGGAGGCTGTTGAAGGAACAGCATGCAACTTGCCCGCCCACACAAATTCACACAGATGGAGGTGGCGGTTGGAGGAGGTGGTGGGGGGGTTGTGTGGATCAGCTTCAGGCACAGCTGTCTGGTTTCCTATGGGATGTGACCACATAACGGTCAGGCAAGGAGATGACTGAATTTATCTTCTTGGAATCACTGCTTCGTAATTGTTGCTTCCCACCACAGGCATTGGAGAAAGGCTGGGCCACAGGAGGCTGGATGAACTTTGTGTTGGCCAGGTACGCAGAATGGCTATCCAGGTGGAAAGTAAGCAGTGGAGATATGCTCACCTGAGCGGGGAGGGGGTCACGAACCTCGCTGGCCTGCCCCAGCTCTGCCTTTGCTTTTTGTTTGGTCCCGTGGCTACAAAGCTGCCCGACCAGGAGCAGCTCCCACTGACAGCTCTGGCCCTGGGCATTTGTGAGTGTTTGGTGGGGGCAGAGTGTGGAGAGGCCAATTCCACACTGTATCTAACCCTAGTGCAGCTCAGGATTCGGCTTCTCCCGGCCCCTTCTTCTCAGGGTCTCAGCTTGGGCCCTCAAGGCAGCAGCAAGATGGACTCTCCTCACCCACTAGGTCCCCTGTCCTTCTTTACCCCCCACTTCGGACACAGCTTCACCTAATCCAGCCACAAAGAGAAAAGTGGGCAAATCACGGAGGGAGGGAAGCACCTGAGCCCCCGCTCTGCCCAGACAAGGCACCCTGTGCGTCTCCCACGGCTTACCACATCTGCCTGGTGTGACATCACAAAAGGGCCAGAGGGCCAAAGGTGACATCGGAGTCTCCCGCACGACCTTCCAGGGCCTCCAGGGAATTTCTCACGCTGTGGGGGTGAAGACTGACTCCCCTGGGGATGCGTGTGTGTGCTCCCCAGGGCCCCCACAGAGGTCAGGGTCCTCTCCATTCAGGACAGCAAGGAGAGAATGGCCTGGAGTGAGGCCCTAGGATTGGAGGCTAAAGCAGCACAGGGCATCGGAAACAGGGTGCTGGGGTGCTTAGAGAGAACCTAGGGAAGACTTGGAGTCTTGCACGTGCCTAGGGGAGCTGCGGTGGGGAGGCAGCAGGGGGCCTCTCCTGCCGGATGGGGCTTTCGGTGGCGGCGATCCCCGAGGGTTCCTTGCTCTAGGGTCGCCTCTTAGCACTGCAGTGGCGGGGGGAGAGTCAGGGCGCAGTGCGGCAGTCTTGGCAACGTGGGAGCCTCGTGTTCACCGGCTCTACCCGCGGGACCAGACCCCTGCAACTCCCCAGCCAGCAGGGCCAGGGCATGTCTCGGGAATCTGGGTTCTCCCCAGGTCCCGGGGTATTCGGGAGGAGCTGCGCCTTCCAGCATCTGAGCTCCAGGCCGGGTCCAGGAGACCAGACCCGCGCACCCTGCCGACGGTCCCAGCGCCGAGGCCAGGGGGCGCAGGGCCTCGAGCACGCCGGGCTGCGACGCATCCTCTTTGTATTCCATCTCTTTCCGCCGCCTGGTGTCCAGGAAGCGTTTACCGCCCCAGTGACACAAGAGAGCACCGGTAAGGCGAAGGGAGGGTTCCGCGGGCGCGGGTTCCGCGGGCGCGGGTTCCGCGGGCGCGGGTTCCGCGGGCGCGGGTTCCGCGGGCGCGGGTTCCGCGGGCGCGGGTTCCGCGGGCTCAGGGGAGTGCGCGTGCGCCCGGTGGAGGCGGCCCTGCGCGCTTGCCGTACACCGCTTCCGGGACGCGCCCAGGGCTACACGTGCAGCTCCGCGGGGGCTCGCTGAGGAGCTCGGCTTTGTGGACCGAGCGGGCGGCGACTGGGCGGGACCGCGGCACGCTGCAGCAGCACCCCACTCCTCCCCCGCCCTGACCAGGTAAGCTGCGGGACCCGGGCTGCCTGACTCGCCGGTGGCAGCTGGCGGCCTCGCTTGGCGCCGCAGGGGCCCGGAGGAGTGTGGGGCGGCGCGGACGTTGCGGTGTAAGTGCTCGGATCGCTGTCCTCTGGAGTCCGCGGGGGGGGGGGGCGGCTGTTGCTGGGATCTTGGGGTGCAGCCCGGCGGCCCCACTCCTCTCCCCTGGCCGCTTCCTCCTCCCACGCCCGGCAGGCGGGTGTAGCGGGGACCACGCGGCAGCTCTCGCATCCCGAGCGGCGTCACCGCACGACGGGCCGCTGGGTGCCGGCTCCAGGCGCTGTCTGGCGGGGGTTGGGATGGGAGAGGGAGGGCGCGCGCTCGGGTCCCACGGGCTGGCCGGGCCGCTGGTGCGTTCCGTGGCTGGAGAACCCGAGCCCAGATCGTGTCCCGCTTCCCTTTCCTTTGATGGTAAGGCTCAGGGGGAAAACCTCCTCAATTGGAAACCGCACACCGCGTCTTCCCTGGGCCGCGGGCGCCGGGTTGGGTGTGTGCGGCTGGGCGCGGGCTCCCTGAGGAGCTCGGCTTCGCGGACCGAGCGGGCGGCGGCGGGGCGGGGACGGAGCGCGCTGAAGCAGCCCCGCGACCTGGCCGGGTAAGCTGGGGGGCCCGGGCTGCGTGACTCGCCAGAGGTGGCAGCCTGGGGCCTCCCGCGGCGCTGCAGGGACCCAGAGACGTGGGGGCGGCCGGAGGTTGTGGCCCTGTGTACTCGGCAGAGCTGCGGGGCAGCTGTTGCTGAGATCTGGGGGTGCAGCCCAGCGGTCCCACTCCTCTCCTACCGGCCGCTTCCCTCTCCCACGACCGGTGGTTGGGTGCAGCGGGTACCAGGCGGCGCTTTCACATCCCAGGGTTGTGTGGGGGGGCCTCGCAGCGAATGGCCACCCGGCGCCGGCTAGAGGCGCTGTCTGGGGGTCGGGGGTTGGGGGGAGCTCGGGTCCCGCCGCCGGGCTGTGCAGGTCACTGGTGCATTCCCCGTCCTCGTCCTCGCTTGGTGCTGGCATCAACTCCCGGTGCCCAACAGCAACTGGGTTGGGGTCGCCTCTGGGTTCGCCGTCTCCGGAGAACCCGAGCCTAGATCTTTGCCCCCATCCCTTTCTCTTTATAATAAGGCCCAGAGGGAAAAACTTCTGAATTCAATACCCCACACCTCGTTGCCCCTGGACTGCAGGTGCCGGGTTGGGGGCACGGCGGGGATGTGCTCCTAGGCCGGGCCCCTTCCTCAGGGCAGGCACTGCCTGGCAAGGCTGCTCGTGGTAGATCTGGCCGCAGATGGTGAAGGAGAGCATTGAGGACAGTTCCCCCGCTTGGCTGTGCTGAGCCCATCTGGAGTGTTTCTGGTTCTAATCACAAGTGGAACAGTTTCAGTGCAGCTTATGGGTTCATGTTAGTGATGAACTTGGGTGGAGGTGGTGACACAGCTTGTTCTTTCCTCCTAGGCTCTTAGTGCACCCAGGATTCTGGCCACTCCCTCCCAGAGCCCTGCCTTGGCTGAGCTGGTCACCACTGCTTGACCGGGGCTGCCGGCTTGCCTGTCATCTGCAGTGCATAGGTATGCACGTGTGTGCCTATGCATACGCACCACACATAAACCATGCCCGCCTCACACACCCCACACACATACCTCATACACACCACACACAGCACACATACCCCATACATACCACACACGATACATATGCCATGCCCACCTCACACACCCCAGATACTGAACCCACATACTCCACACACATATCATACCCACCTCACACATCCCACACGCTTAACCCATATACACCACACATACATCACACATATACCATGCCCACTTCACACACCCCATACATATACCCACCTAACACACATACCCCATACACGCAACACACATACCCACCTCACACACCACATATATACCATGCCCACTCACACAGACCACACACTTAACTTATATACACCACAACCACCACACATACTACCATGCCCRCCTTACACACACCATACACATATACCCAACTCACACACCAGACACACTTAACCCATGTACACTGCACACCACAGATATGCCATGCCCACCTCACACACCCCACACACTTAACCTGTCTATACCACACACACAGCACACACATACCATACCCACCTCACACACACCACACACACCGCAGATACACTGCACACGTTCTATACCCACCTCACATACCCCACACTGCATATATACCGTGCCCGCCTCAGACACACCACACACTTAATTCATGTGCATCACGATGCACACCACACACGTCATACCCACCTCACACACATACCCCTTACACACCATACACAACACAAATATACCCACCCCACATACCACACACCACATGTACACCATGCCCACCTCACACCCCGCACATTCAACCCATATACACCGCACAGATAGCATATCCGCCTCACATACACCATACATGTATCATACCGACGTCACACACATATCCCATACACASCACGTGCATATCATAACCACTACACATACACCACATATATACCATGCCCACCTCACACACACCAGGCACTTAACCCATATGCACCACACACACACCACACACATATTTCATACAGACCATACACTCTTCACACATACTACACACCACATATACCCCATACACACCACACACACCATACACACCACACACACCTTATACACACACACCACACATACCACACACACTACATAATACCATACATGCACACCATACACATTTCATATACACCCGCACAACCCATACATGTCACACGCCTCACACACTTTATAAATACCACCCACAGAGCACACCACACTCCACATACATATTACATCACCCATACAACACACTACCTTCCAGACAGACAACTTATTCACACACACACACCCCACACAATATCACATATACGTACACTGTACACATGTAATGCACACCACACACACCCCATACGCACCACACACACACCCCATACACACCACACACGCACCATACGCACCACACACACTACATACACCTCATACAACCACACACATTACACACACCTCATACATACCACACACCACAAACACTACACCATGCACACAAAAAATACACGCTGAACTCTTCCACACTACATCACACTCCTCAAGTACCACATGCACATCACATTCACATCAGACACACCAGATACTACACACCATACACAGTACACTCCACACACTCACCACACCCTCCATAACGCCCCACCACCATACACACAAACACACACACACACACACACATGTGTGCCCCCAACACTATATACTCCCTACCCGCCACACAAACTACTCATTGAATGAAATGGGATGATTGAGTTTTCCCCGAATAAATACTGCCCATCTGTGTGCCCTCAGCTGTCCTGGCTGGCACATCCCCTGGTCCTGCCCTCCCTTGGGTCAGTGCTGCCTCCTGTGTTTTGGGTGTCTCTGGCTGTGCCTTGGGGTGTGCTCATGTCCCCATTGCCTGGGAGGCTGGCCCCTCTGCCCCAGTGGCTGCCTTCCTGGAGGAGACTGGCTTGTTTGCTACCTCTCCTGACTCTCAGAGCGGTGGCTGATGTGGGAAGTCCTGCTTCCTCCCCTCGGTGTCTGCCCTTCCCCACGGATCATTTTGTCCCGGGCTGACATCTCCCCAGCTAGAAGAGGAGACCCTCAAAGACACACAAGTGGGTTTGATTGTAGTGCTTGTGAATAACAAAATATGATTTGGTAAAAGACTCAACTAGTACAAACATCTTTCATAAAGTATAGTGTGCAAGCCCCCTCTGTTCCCACCTCTCTTTCCTCCTCTCCCCAGAGGACATAGCTAACAAGCCTTTGTGGGGCTCCCCCTTTCTGTGTGTTTGCATCCGTGTATGGGCTGGGGAATGTGTGTCAGTCTTGTAGGAGCTGGAACTGGGATCTATACACATGTGCTGACTGTAGCTCAATTGCAATTTTCTTTCCAAAACAGGCCTTTAACATCCCTCACTGTGGTGCATGTTGCCCTGCCTCTTTAAAACGCTATTGACTCTTGCAGCATGCAAACTCTGCTGTCATTTATTTAATCCTTCTTTTATTTACGGGTACTTAGGTCGTTTTCAGTTTTTTTTTTTTTTTTTTTTTTTGGTTTTGTTTTTTTGCTCCTGGAATATTCAAACCCGTTAACGTTTTCAGTTTTTTAAAAGATTGCTGCAGTGAAAACTTTCAGCTGTCATTTTTCACATTGCTGTTGGAGAATGGGGTGGGAAGCGCCGTCAGGCTGGAGTGGCCCCATGTGTGGCCGTGCTCTGTGAGGTTCTGACTCTGTCCTTCCCCATGTTTCTCCCACAGTGGCTGCCTCCAGGAGATGATGGTTGTGTGAGTGCCTGCCATGGCCCACTGGAAGCGTGAGAGCGCGGGGAGCGGCTTGTTGGACCACAGGGTGAGGCTGGGCCCTGTACCCCACAGCCAGGAGCTAAGATGTGGAGCTGCCCTTGGAGGACTACGTGCCCAGGGGCCTGGAACTGGCCACCCTGTGGCCAGAGAGCCCCATGCCCAAGCACTAGGAGTGCCACAACCACAGCCCCGATGCGGACTCCAGCTCCAACTATGTGAGCAACATCTTTGGGGAGCAGGACTATGACGAGGGCGTCCCTGAGGAGGGAGGAGGGCATCACCTACTACATCTGCTACTGCCCCAAGGTCAACAGCTACCTGTAGGGCATGGACTGCAACGGGGATGAGTACCTGGTCCATGGCACACACCCCATGCACACCGACAAGTGTCAGGAGCATCCACACAATATGCCTCGTAACTGGACCAGTGAAGAGTTCAGTCCCTATTAGAACTGCAAGGCACCCAGTCCCTGTCACCACCTTACTTCAGCATCTGCAGGGGCTGTACCAAGAGGTCCCTTGCTCTCAGGCCCGTCTGCTCCCTTCCCTGGGACAGGAGAGGAGTGGCTGGACTCGGCAGGCCTGCACCCCCCCGGCCACTGTGCTGAGGGCAGCCAGGACTACCCGGACGGCCACCTGCCCTTCCTGGAGGATGAGCCCTCTGTCCTGGAGGCCCACGACCAGGAGGAAGACTACTGTCCCAGCAAAGAGGGTTACCAGGACTGCTACCCCACAGAGGCCAACGAGAACACCGGTGCCTCCCACTACCACCTAAGGCAGGGGGACGGGGACTTGGAGGACCAGAAGGAGGACATCGACTCGATCGTGGCTGAGATCAAGAGGTGCCTGAGCATGACGAACATCACCAGTGCCAGTGAGACCAGCAGAACTATAAAATGTTGCACAGGAGTGACGAACTCTAAATTCAGGGGAATGGGTACCTCTAGGGATGGGTAGAGGAATAAGCCTGTGGGGGTGGTTCTGGGGGCTTTATTTCATATATAAGTTTGTTTTAGTTCATGAAACAAGAGAAAGTCTGAAGCAAGTACAACTACATATGAGTATGTTCTGATAACCCCAGAGAGTGGTATCCAGGTGTTTGACATATGGGCTTCCTATAGATTCATGTATGTTTGAAATACTTATTTACTTTGAAATACTTATGTATTTATTCATTCTTGAGATGGAGTCTTGCTCTGTCGATCTTGACTCACTGCAACCTCCGCCTCCTGAGTTCGAGAGATTCTCCCACCTTAGCCTCCTGAGTGGCCCGGTTTACAGGCACATGCAACCACGCTGGGGTAATTTTTGTGTTTTTAGTAGAGACGGGCTTTCACCATGTTGACCAGACTGGTCTTGAACTCCTGAACTCAAGTGATCCGCCTGTCTCAGCCTCCCAAAGGGATGGGGTTATAGGCATGAACCACTGCGCCCGCCCTGATGTATTTGGTAATATATTTTATTTTGTTTTAAGGAGTGCCTTTTGGTGAGTGTGCCCAGGAGGAGGATGGCTGTGAAGATTGGCAAGTGCCTTCCCTGCTGTGCACCCAGCCCCTTGTCTGGCCTAGTCAGGCCCCAGCTGCAGGCCAAGCAATTATCCATAGGCCAGACAGGCTGACATCATGCACCCACAGTGATACTAGAAGTAATATCTCCTTAAAACATTATGAGTAACATTTCTGAGTATACACACGTGGTGGACATCAGCTTTGATGTTGAAGTAATATCTTTCTAAGATACTATAATATCATAGGGTCTAAAACATAATGTACACTCATTCTAATATTAGGTGTAATATCTCCTTAGAATATTATGAATAATGTGTGCTGTACAAAACTGGTATACACCATACAGTATTATTGGTGTAATATCTCCCCAGGATATTACGTGTAATATCACTGGGTGTACACCCTGTGATGTTAGGCATAATATCTTGGGTAGGTATTACTTTTCATATTGCAGTGTGTGTACATCCTATAATACTACACATAATATTCTGGAGAGATATTACTCCTAATATCAGGGTGTGATACTGTGTGTAACATCCTGGAAAGATACTACTCCTAATATATTGGTGGGTGTACGCCCTGTGATATTACTCATTATATTTGGGAAGATTTTACACAGTGTACACCCACTGTGGTATCAGGGGCAATACTTTCCCAGGGTATTAACACACATCACAGAACATACACGCACTGTGATATTACCAGTAAGGTCTCTCTTAAGATACTACGAATAATCTGAAAGGGTGTACACCACTGAAATATTAGAAGAAATGCCTTCCCAGGATATTATAAATAATATCACAGGGTGTACACCCATTGTGACAGTAGGAGTAATATCTCCCCAGGATATTATGAATATATCACATAGTGTATACCCACTGTAATGTTAGGAGTAATATTTCTTTAGAATGTTACAAATAATATCACAGGATGTATACCAACCGGGATATTAAAAATATTGTCCTAGGATATTACAGATAGTGCACAGGTTGTACAACCTTTGTGATATTTACTGTAGTATCTTTCTAGAATATTACAAAGAATATTAAAGAATGTAAACCCACTGTGATATCAGGAGTAATACCTCTCCAGAGTATTAGAAAAAATATCACATGGCATACACCCACTGTGAGTATAAGGAGGAATATCTCCCTAAGATACTACAAATAGTATCACATAGTGTACACCAACTGTGATATCAGGAGTAATATTTAACTAAGATACTATGAGTAATATCACCCGGCATTCACCCACTGTGACTGTAGGAGCAATATCTTTCTAGGATATTAGGAATATCACAGAGTGTACACTTGCTTTCACAATGAGCATAATACCTACTTAGGATATTATGGATAATATCACAAAATGTACACACATGGTATATACCCACTTTGATATTAGGATTAATACCCATCTAATATACTGAAAATAATGTCCCAGAATGTACTCGTGTACATTTATTGGGATATGACAATACATGTACATAATGTGCACACTATGTACATGTATATGTACATATGCATTGTGTACACTATGTACATAATATGTACATAATATGTACATAGTATACACATGTACATAATGTGTACATAATACGTATGTATATGTGTACAATATGTACATTTATTTTAATATCACAATATATATACAATACATAATATGACAACAAATGTACATATTGTACACATTGTGTACATATTGTACATCTGTACCTATGTATTGTGTACATAGGTATGTAAACATTTTTGTGGTATTACAATATGTACACGTGTACATATATGCACATTACGCACATAATGGACAATATGTACACGTACATATATGTGCACATTATGAACAGTATGTACACTTGTACATACATGTGCACATGTACATGTGTGTACAATATGTACACTTGTACATATAGTGCACATGTGCATATGTACACATGTAGATTTATGGTAACACAAATGTACCATAAATGTACATAATGTGTACATTTATTCTGATATCTCTGTAATATTACAAACAATATCACAGAGTGTGCACACATGGTACATATGCATTGTGTGCACTCACTGATATTAGGAGAAATAGGATATTATGAATAATATTACAGGATGTAAACTCAGTTTGATGTGAGGAGTAATAGCTCTCTAGGATGTTACAGCGGCTGTACACGCATGGTGTACACCCACTGTCATATTAGGAGTGTCAGTTCTTCCTGGGATATTACCACTAACATCACAGAGTGTACACACATGGTGTACAGCCACTTTGATAATTTCAAGTAGTATCTCTTCCTGAGATATTAAGAATAATATCAGAGGGTGTACCCAAATACTGTACACATACTTTAATATTATGAGTAACGTCACATGCTGAATATTATGAATAATATCACAGAGTGTTCAAACATACTTTACACTGGCTATGATGTTAGGAGTAACATCTATTTAAAATATACACCCATATCAACCACAAAAATATTAGGAGTAATATCTTTTTAAAATGTAGACCCATATCAACTACCCGCTATATGGTGAGTAATAGCACCCCGGCTTTCCCTGGATGTTATGAACCATGTCACAGCAGGGTGCCCACACCTGTGATTCGTAGTATCTCTCCCACAGATATTATGAATAATATCATAGGATGTACCCAAATACTGTACACACACTTCAATATTACGAGTAATGTCATATGCTGAATATTACGAACAATATCATAAAGTGTTCAAACATACTTCACACCGTCTGATTTTAGGCATAATATCTCTTTAAAATATACACCTATATCAACCCAACTGTGATATTAGGAGTCATATCTCTATACACCTACATAAACACCCCAACGATAATATCAGGAGCAATATCTCTAAAATATGCACCTATATCAGCCCAATGGTGATATTAGCAGTAATAGCTCACTAAAATGTACACACGTATCAACCCCCCGCCCTAGGGCGAGTAATATCCCCCCGGACCCCCCTGAATATTCCAGACCCTATGGGTAGGGGGCTGCCTACAGCCCCCGCCATAGGGCGAGGAATATGACCCCTGCCCCCCCGGATATTAAGGACCCTATGGCTAGGGGGCTACCGGCAGCCCCACCCTAGGGTGAGGAATATCCCCCCTGCCCTCTCTGGTTATACGAACCCTATGGTTAGGGGGCTGCCACAGCCACTGCCCTAGGGCGAGGAATATCCCTCCGGCCCCCTCTGGATATTCTGGACCATCTGTCGAGGGGTCTGTGCCCACAGCCTCCTCACCAGAGGGCAAGTAGCAGCACCCCAGCCCCCCTGGCTGCTACGAACCCCCTGGCTAGGCAGTGCCCACAGCAGCTATTTAGAAAATCTGGAGTGATATGATACTGGGAACCATATCATAGGGAGAAGATAATGTTATTGTGTAACACTAGTTCTAGTTCCACCTCTGCAATAGTGACAAAAATATCATCCTCGCCCCCCTTGATATTAGAATTGAAATCACAGGGGAGTTTCACCTCTTGCAATTTTTAATTCAATATAATTGGTTTTTCTGTGGACCTTAGTTACAATATCAGAGCGTGGTGTACACCTCTTGCCATATTGAGAGTATTACCGTATGGGCAGTAATATCATCTGCTCCTTCCCTGGATATTAGGAACAATATCACAGGGCGGGTGTACAGCCTCCGCCACATTCTGAGGAATATCATCTCTCACCCCCTAGATATTAGGAACAATATCACAGGGCGGGTGTACGGCCTCCGCCACATTCCGAGGAATATCATCTCTCATCCCCTAGATATTAGGAACAATATCACTGGGGGTTTGTGCGCTTCCCGAGATATTTGGAGTAACATCCTCTCCGTTTTTGGATATTTGAAACAATATTACAGAGGTGCTGTACACTTCCTGCGATATTGAGAGCATAATCATCCTCTCTCCCTCGGATATTAGGAAATATATCACAGAAGCATCGTATACCGCCTGTGATGTTGGAACAATCACAGAGTGTACACTTGCTTTCACAATGAGAGTAATATCTACCTAGGATATTATGGATAATATCAGAAAATGTACACACATGGGTGTATACCCACTTTGATATTAGGAGTAATTTGTATCTAATATAATAAAAATAATATCCCAGAATGTAGTCATAATGTGTACATTTATTGGGATATTGCAATAAATGTATACGATATCTACAATATGTACATTTATTGTGATGTCCATATGTGTACACAATACATATGTACAATAAATGTACATAATATATACAATATATACATTTGTATGTACATGTGTACACAATACATATGTACATGAGTACAACCTGCACATTTACTGTAATATCAAAACGATATATGTATAACAATATATATAATCACAATATATAATACATAATATCACAACAAATGTACATATTGTACACATTATGTACATATGTATTGTGTACACATTATGTACCTATACATTTGTTGTGATATTACAATATGTACATGTGTACATAATGTACACATTATGTACATAGGTACTATATGTACACGTGTACATATATATGTGCACATTATATACATATGTACAGTATGTACACATGTACATATATGGGCACATTATGTACATATATATATTCTTGCCTATTGAATATAAATATTCTAATTACTCCATGAAAAGATTTCTTTTTTTTTTTTTTTTTTTTGAGACGGAGTTTCGCTCTTGTTACCCAGGCTGGAGTGCAATGGCGCGATCTCGGCTCACCGCAACCTCCGCCTCCTGGGTTCAGGCAATTCTCCTGCCTCAGCCTCCTGAGTAGCTAGGATTACAGGCACATGCCACCATGCCCAGCTAATTTTTTGTAGTTTTTAGTAGAAACGGGGTTTCACCATGTTGACCAGGATGGTCTTGATCTCTTGACCTTGTGATCCACCCACCTCGGCCTCCCAAAGTGCTGGGATTACAGGCTTGAGCCACCGCGCCCGGCCGAAAAGATTTTTAAAACCATCAAGGCAGCCTGTAAATTCCTTGTAGTTGTGATCATATAAAATAATGTAGGTATACCACTAACAATACCTGGCACTAGAACACAAACACTAAATACATAATGTTACTTACTGCTGTTATTGTTGTATGGTAACTATTTTCAATTGTTATCTTGTAATGTTCAAGTTCTTTTGATTTCTTGTTAGTCACTAAATCTGTGTAATCTGACATCTTTTAGACTTCTGAACATAAGGCCGTTATTTGAATTACAATGAAAGTGAGTAACTATAAGGTTTTTTTTTTCCATCTGCAATTGGATTATTGACAAGTGGTTTTAATCAGCACTCCATTGCCATCTGAGTGACCCTGAAAAATAGGAATATTTTTTAAGGAAAAGTGCACTTTTCTTTCAAAACTACACACAGTATTTTGATGCCAATAAATAAGTTTCTGCATGTTACTAGCCTACTGCTGCAGTGAGGGTGAATGACCGGCATTCTTGGATGTCTATGAAACTCCCCTTCTAGGCCAGGCGTGGTGGCTCATGCCTGTAATCCCAGCACTTTGGGAGACCAAGGCAGGCAGATCATGAGTTCAGGAGTTCGAGACTAGCCTGAGGTTTTACCGTGGTAAAACCCCATCTCTACTAAAAATATACAAAAATTAGCTGAGCGTGGTGGCGTGCACCTGTAATCCCATCTACTCAGGAGGTTGAGGCAGGAGAATCACTTGAACCCAGGAGGCGGAGATTGCAGTGAGCCGATATTGCGTCACTGCATTCCAGCTTGGGCGACAGAGTGAGACTGCATCTCAAAAACAACAGCAACAAACAACAAACCCCACGTCTCATCCCAGCATCGGCACACATACAGGCACACACGTGCACACACAGGCACACACACCCAGCATCTTTTGTGTCAACAGTCATGACTGCATTCATTGGCCAGGAGAGAAATAAAATCAGGCCCCTCCCTGGACTCAAGGCTGAGTCTGGTTTAGTCTAAAGTGATCATCAGAATGCCATTCCTCTTGCCAATTATCAAGAATGGGCGTGTTACAAAATTCTGGCCAATGATGGGTGTCCTCGGAGATTTTCTTCATTCTTGAACAAGGGGCA